TCATTAATTCCAGTCTGAGTTATGTTCCTTTATATATGATATCTTTCTATAGACTTCCCACTGGTGTGAAGGAAAGGATGGATTTCTTTAGAAGGAGATTGCTCTGGCAAGAAGATCAGGGGATTAGGAAATATCATCTTGTACAGTGGCCTGTGATTTGTACTCCTAGAGATCAGGAGGGTTTGGGTGTTCTAGATTTGGATCTTATGAATAAAGCTCTTTTAGGAAAATGGATTTGGAAACTTGAGAATGAGGACGGGTGGTGGCAGGAGGTGTTGAGGGATAAATACCTGAAGAAGAAAACAATGTCTATACAGAAACCTAAACCTGGTGATTCCCACTTTTGGCAAGGTTTGATGGAAGTAAAGGAGAGATTCTATAATTTTTGCACAAAGAAAGTGGGGGATGGAAGGTCCATTATGTTTTGGGAAGATAGTTGGCTCGGGGGCAGACCTCTGGCTCACTTATTCCCTACTCTCTATAACATTACTCTCTCAAAACATGTTTCCTTGGTTGAGATTAAAAACAAAGGTTGGGAGGTTATAAAGTTTAGAAGGTCTTTGTATGGAAGCAAATTGAGGGACTGGAATAAAATTAAACTTTCTGTGGAAGGGATTCAGGTTGAGGAGGGGGTGAGAGATAAGCTTGTCTGGAATCTGACAAAAACAGGGGTCTTCAGTGTGAAATCCTTCTACAATGCACTATCTGTTCAACAAATAGACATTCCTCTTAAGAAAATTTGGAGTTTCAAAATTCCTTTGAAAATTAAAATTTTCATTTGGATTCTTTTGAGAGGCAAGAATCTGACTAAGGACAATTTGTTTAGGAGAGGTTGGAGAAAGGGTGATACAAAATGTCAGTTTTGTGACAAACAGGAATCAATTCAACACCTTTTCTTTGATTGCTCTCTTGTCAGACTAATTTGGAATATAATACAATGTGCTTTTGATCTCAAAACAGCTAAAGACTGCCAACACCTTTTTGGGGCTTGGCTTTCTGCTTTCTCGAACAAAACCAAAAACTTGATTGTAACTGGTATTGCTGCTGTAATCTGGGCTGTCTAGAAAACTAGAAATAAAGCTTGTTTTGATAAAAAAAATTGCCTAATGATCCCACTGATGTAGTTTTCCTGGTTTGCCACTGGATGGAATCCTAGGCTCTTTTGCAGAAGCGGGAGGCAGATCAAAGAAAGCTGCTCTTGGGGGCCAAGCTCATAAGGCAAATTGCAAGTGATGTGTACAATTCTAGGTTTGGATGGAGGCCGACGGGGAGACTGCAGTGTTGATCTTTTGGCGGGGGTAGAGTATGCTTTGTTGATTGTGTGGATGCTGGGTTCATGGCTCCTGTTAGTCCTGGAAGTCTTGTTATGCAGTTGTTGATTCTGTGCCTTCTGGATAGTCCATGTATGGTCAAAGCAGCCGGTGTGCTGGCTTCTGTCCTTTCTTTTCTGTTCTTCAGTTTGTAAGACTTTGATCTTGTAATCTCTTTCATTTCTAGTAATGGAAATGGGGGCGTAATGCCCTTGGTCAAAAAAAAAACTCAACTAAAGATTAATTATCTCTAATTGGATTTATAGTTTAATTGATTAAAACATACCGCTCGTAATGGTACCATCCACGATTGAAATATACCGCTTATAGTTTAATTATATCAATAGTCTTTCATGTGGGAATAAAAAAATAAAGACTATTGAAAGAAGAGACCATCTAGAACACAACACGAGATTAATTAAAATTCAGAAAAAAAAATCCAAAAATATAAAAATAATTGTAGGAGTTAAAGTATGAATACAATTTATAAATAACAAAATATTGAAATGAAAAATATATTTTTTTTAAAAAAAATAGTCCATCTAGAACACAACGATGACAAGTGACATAAAGAGGAGAGAAGCAACAAACCTGTAAGAAGTAGTGTTGTGGGGGTTGATGGGACCTCTAAAAACTATAAGCAAAACTATTGACAGTCATTAAGTACCAAATGCGATAGTCAACTATGATAATAAATAAAGAGAGAACTAGCATTTCTTACATGTATTCCAATAATAAATAGTGTAGTACTACTATGCTTGAAGAATTAACATGAATGCAGAGAATAAACACACTTCTGGCTAATCACGTGCGAGCACACGGATTGAGTCACCCACAAGTCAGCTCAAACTGACTCAAAGTGGGGCCAAACCACCGGGAACCGACCAAGAGGCCCACTTGTCAACCACACACCAAAGGAGGTGGCTAATGGCGGTTACTCTGGTTCAGCTGAACCAGCCTTGGAGCGCCCAACACTCCCTTCCACTTGGCAACTCCTCATTCACTCCTGATGGCAGTTATGCTTGATTCCCGGCCCACAACTGCCTTAAGCAACCACCATTTAAAGCTATAAATAGTGATAAGGACATAACTAGCTTGGATATGTCCATGACTAACTTGTGTATTTATCAACCAAAGGTACATATGTTTTATATTAGATTTACTTATTACTCCGTATATATTTGAATAAACGTTACTACACCATGAGTTTTGTATCTTCTCGTTTGCAGATCTACTTGCGTGGATGATGGAACAGAGACCGGGCGTAAGGAATGCATGGATGATCAAAAAAGTTGATTGGGACCAAACCAAGACCTTCTCCTAGTCTACTTTTACCTAACCACGTCACGTTTGGTCCAAAGAAGATAAGAGATAAAGTTCTACACGTTTTGGATTCGGATTCGGGCCTTCTGACAGCATTAACTTCAAACAGACCTAGCCGCTCGTATAAAAGGAATTTCGGGGCCCATGAGTACTTGTTGGAAAGCTTATGGAGTATACTTTCAGATGGTTTTGGTCATACATTAAAATTCCCACCGAGTTGTCGGAAATCTGCAAAACAAGCCTCATACCTTATCCAGTCCAAATCTGATTTGGGTTTTAGACCTTGTAATTATGTCGTCGCTTAGACCAAAGGGGCGTGCGCCATTGGGCAACCCTAGGACGTCCCTAATTATATATATTTAGTAGTCGTCATCGTTTAGAGTCGAGTTTTGCTTAGATTATTTCTGCCATTGCAGTTTCGCCGCTAGGTCGGTTTGTGGAACCCTAAATTTGAGTGCTTAATCATTCGTATGCAATTGTGTTGCAATCTATCTTATTCTTGCTTGTGTTCTTCGATTCGCATGCAGGGATTAGCCTTCTCGGCGTGGTCAACCGGACGATGCACGGTTGATAACCAGAGGAGACGTGGTGCTGCGATTTGCATGGTTCGGATCGTGTTGATCGGAAGCCGGATTGTGTGTGTCAAGTTTCCGCCAAATCGAGAGTTATCAATACCTATCGAAAGATCGAGACCTAGCATCCTCATCATAGAGGAGATCTTTTCACTTCCCAACACACACCTCAAGGAGCAATTCTCTCTATCTATATTGTGTTCTCTACAGTTTTAGTAGAAATAGGCTTGGAGTATCTCCGGTCCTATAGTCTTCTTAGAGATTCCGATGTGTGTTTAGTTCTTTACTATTTTGGTAAGACTATATTTGAATTAAGGAACAATTGCTTACTTGACCCTAGTTTGAAGCCCAACTACTAAATTGACCCTATTTTTTCAAGTTTGCTCATTTGACCCCATTTTTTAAAACTGAACATCAGAGCTGACCCTATTCCGTGAAGACCAAATAACAGTGTTAACTGTGAAGCAATTATCATTTTTGCCCTTGCTCATTTACCAATGTTATATCAAAGATTTTTTTTTCTTTCATTCAGTCCTTTTTAATATTTGTAGTTCATCTCATTGTCATTGGAGCTCAGGACAGTGTTCAGCTGCTCGCTCTCCAACACCGGGCAGGAGAACTCGGCCGTCGAGATGACGATGGTGGCGCCAGTGGCTGCCTGTTGCTGTTGACCTGTTGCTGCCGTCGATCTGCAGGCCGGGGATGAGAGGCTGTGCCATGGGCATGTGCTCTGTTGGCTGGATGACCATCCGGCCACCGCCGACGTCAATGGCATTGGAGTTCGCCGGAACTGACAGAAGAGAGAGAGCACAATCGGATTCGAGCACTTGTGTCAGCCCGCGCGCAGTCGCCGCCACCCCTCAGCGCGCTGGCGCCGGCGCCACTGCCAATCGCCGTCCCTCTCTCCCTCCGCACGGCAGCAACCGCTGCCGCTACTCCGTGCGCCCGCGCCGACCGCCTTCGCTCGCTGGCGCCGCTCCTCCTCCCTCCACACGGCAGCAGCCCGTGCCGCCACTCCTCCGCCTGCAGGCGCCGCCGGTTCTCCTGCCTCCGCGTGCCGACGCCGCCCCTCCCTCCGCGCGGCAGCAGCCGACGCCGCTGCTCCTCCACACACAGGCGCCGCCTCCCCTCTGCGCGCCAGCGCTGGCAGTCCTCCTCCCTGCGCGGACCGCCGCCCCTCCCTGGCTCCCTCCCTCCGCTTGGCAGCAGTCGCTGCTGCTACTCCAAGCGCGCGCGCCCATCGCCGTCCCTCCCTTCGCTCGCTGACGCCGCCGCCCGCCGCTCCTCCTTCCTCCATGCGCCCAGCCGTGCCACCGAGATGTGTGGGTGAAGACTCTTGATTTGTAACTTGGATAAGGTTATTATTTATAATCAGGGGTATATTGGTCAGTTCATACTAGCAATTTTATTTTTTTTCATTTTGCTAACTAAGACACTAACGGACTATTAAAAAGAGGCTCAGATGGTGGCTTTGATTTTAAAAAGCGGGGTCAAATGAGCAAAGTTAAAAAAAAAGGGGCAATTGTATCCATGCCCCCACTTTTAAAACCAATTGCTGTTTTACCCCATATTTTAGAGTTTGTATTTTTACCCCCACTTTTTGAATCTGAAGCAGCTGTGTACCCTCATTTCTAACCGCCACAACTAACGGTGTCAGTTGTAGAGAAAAAGACATATATACCCTTGGTGGTTATTGTAGTTTTGCCTCCATTTTTTTTAGCTTTGTGTGATTTTGCCCTCATTTTTTTTCAGCTTGTGTGAGTGTTATAATGTGAGGCTTTGAACGGCCTATGCATTCACTCTGAACCCTCTAAACTACACATCAACGCCACATTTAGTTGTACATGGATAATACAACAGAGTTGTGAATTGTTCCAAAAAAAAATACAACAGCCCATGTACCCTAGATTTTTTTGTTAATTGTTGATCGCTCTGTGTCCAGTTCTTCATTGCATAGAGCAACAAACCGCAATTAACGAAGCAGAATGTAAGCAGGAAATAACAGAACGGAGGAGCATCATGCATTTCTATAGCTCCATCTCTGACGACAAATGCAGATAGCAACCGCAAAATGAGAGCTGCAGATCGATGGATCGATCTCTCCTTTATCATTGTCGCATCACTTGACGACTTTGATCCACTCAGTGCACCCTGCATGCGAATGCACAACACATAGGCAAATTAACAAAAGCTGCAGCTAATAACACAGATCAAAACCGTTATTGATGGCAAATGAATTACCTGGAGCAGTCGGTGGAAGGGCTGATGGCGTAGGGGATGTTGACGCCGCACTTGGAGGGGATGCCGGCGACGAGGTCGGGCCTCAGGCCGCCCATGCCGCTCGTCTGCTGCTTGATGCAGGCGCAGGTGGTCTGGTGGTCGGCGGCGGCGGAGTTGAGGGTCCTGACCCCGTCGCAGCAGCCGCCGGTGGGGGCGGACACCCTCCCCGTCGCGTACATGATGCACGGCGCAAGCATGCGGCCAACAACTTTCCCTTTTCTGCCTTGTCTTGCCCTCGGCTGTGAGAGGCCGCCTCCACGTGGAAGAGCAGCGGCTGCCGGCTGTGGACCTCCTGCGAGCGGGCGCCGGCGCACGCCCGCGTGGCCGCGGCCTCCTCGCGCGGCCGCCGCCGCCGCCGCCGCCGCCTCCGTGCCGCGCCGCCGCCCCCGCGCTAGCTAGCTAGGATTTCGACCCGACTCACGGAGACGCACGGGAAGAACCCTATCCATTCCCTTTCCCTCAGGGGTACAAATGTCATTACATAATTTCTAAAACCTTTTTTTATTTTGTTTTTATTTCTTTAACACAAAATGTGGGACCCACCAAACAGTTGTCACAAGTGGGGGTAGAAGGCTACTTCAGATTTAAAAAGTGGGGGTAAAAATGCAAACCCTAAAAGTGGGGGCAAAACAGCAATTGGCTTTCAAAGTAGGGGCACAGATGCAATTGCCCCTTAAAAAAAATAGGGTCAATTTAATAGTTGGGCAAAATTTAACTATTTGCCATTCTTGTGACATGGCAATTAACGATTTACCATACTCTATCAATTACATGTGGGCTCTCATGTGTATATGACATGTGGGCCTAGTGGCAAATCGTTAAGCAACATTTGTAAGAGTGGCAAATAGTTAAAAGCTCCTTAGGGTCAAATAGCATTTGCCCCTTGAATTAATGGAATTATCTTATTATTTATTTATTTATTTATGCTCATAGTATGTGTATTCATTTATTGGATATGTGTTCTATGAGTAGTATATATTTCGCATATCTCCTACAGCCTAGGCTAGTCGATCCATGTAACAATTGTTCATTTAGAACTAACTGAAATTCAAAATTAAAAAAATAAGAAAACAAAGAGTAGAGCTTAGAGTCCACGTAGAAATACTATTTAGAAATATCTAAAATCAAAATTTTTAAAAAAGGATATTGGAAGAAGATGCTAGAAACCTTATAGTAATACTCCTGCAATAAAGGAATTAGAAAAGGAATACTGTAAGAAGAGTCTATAGTCCATATAGGGATACAATTTAGAAATAACGAAAATTTAGAATTAAAACATAACGAATATTAAAAAAAATTCTAGATTCCATATAGGAATATAATTTATAAATAAATGAAACTAGAAATAAAAAAAAGAGAAATATTAAAAGAAGAGTGTAGTCCATATAGCAATACAAATAACGGAAATTCAAATTTTTTTTAAAAGGAGTGTTGAAAGAGAAGTCTAGAGTTTATATAGAAATACAATTTTTAAATAACTGAAATTTGAAATTTAAAAATAAGAAATATGGAAAGAAGGGTTTAGAGACCATATAGGAACAAAATTTATAAATAAAGAAAATTTGAAATTATAAAAATAAGAACTGTTGAAAGATAAGTAATTTAGAGTCCATACAGAAATATAATAAAAAATAATTAAAATTAGAAATCAAAAAATAATTATTAATTATCGCGTATATACAATACACTATAAATATCACGTATCGAATAGTTTGGCCAGGTCAGAACAGAATTGAAAATTATGTTGTCATTTTAATATATTTTAATAATACAAAAATAAAAATATATATGCTATTATGTGAGAAAAAATATAATGATTCTAGCCGCGCAATATACAAGACCATAATGCTACTTGAAATAAAAAAGAAACAGATAGAGCATTAATTTTGTTTGCGAGCTTCATTGACAAGCATAACCTTTGCCTAGTGGTGTGTTTGGATGGAGGGATATAGGTGGATAGGACATGGCGGCCCATTTTTTGTGGGTGTTTGGTTCCTGGGCAGGGGTGGGATGGAGCGGCCCGGGGAGGAATATTCCCCCCAGATGCCGGATGAGGGGATCCGGCCGAATTGGCCGGATGCAGCCGCCCGAGCGCGGGGCGAGCGACCAAGGCAGTCGCATCACTCCTCTCCAAGAAAGAGCGACGGCGAGGGCGGCGACCAGCGGGAGCTCGGCGGCGGCTGTTGCGAGCGGCGGCGGCGGCTGGTGCGAGTGGCGGTGGCGGCGCCAGATGCGCGCTCGGCCGCGGCGCCGGATGCGAGCTCGTCGGCGGCGGCGGCGGGAGGCGCGCTCGGCCGCGGCGCCGGATGCGAGCTCGTCGGCGGCGGGAGGCGAGCTTCGTGGCGGCGCCGGATGCGAGATTGGCGGCGACGGGAGCGGCGAGCTCGGCGGAGGCGCCTGATGTGAGCGCCGAAGACCTTTTTATTTTCCTATTTCTTTGTTTTTTTTCTTTTTTTTCTCTATATATATATATATATATATATATATATATATATATATATATATATATATATATATATGAATTTGTGATTTGTAGTATATATGAATTTGATGGGGGTATACTCACCCTCTCTACAGTGAGAGGTGACCACATCTGCTCATCCACCTACTCCGCCCAACTAAACAAAAAAATTGGATCACCAAATCCACCTTCATCACTACAACCAAACAGTTTTATCGATATTCACCTAACCAAACAAAAAACTGGATCGCCATATCCAACAAAATATGGATCGCCATATCCCATTCAACCTTGACCGTGAACCAAACTTATTGGCCATTTGGTGGTGGCCTGGTGGAGACGTACATGGTCGCGCACACGCACGTACGACTCGAACTGTTAGGGGACAAATTGCAAGACACCCATATCTACGCCAACCACAGAGTCATCCAAGAGTATAATGTAAAGGCGACGGTAGTGAGGAGCTAGCTTGAAAAGCAGATACCAGCAGCATCCAGTGAGATTGTGAATCTATCGCCCGTACGCCATTTCTACTTTTCCATGGGTGTCCCTACTAATGAACTCTGGAAGGGGTGTCCATGATTGAAACCTACCAAATAGCACTGTAATGGAGATTAAATTCAAACCTCTCTCGTGCACGGTAGGTGCAGTCTGCATTTCAGTCTGCTGTTTTATCAAGAGCACATCTTTCTTGTCAAGTTAATTCCCATTATACGCCCCTGACTAGCTGTAGGCGCTGTAGCTAGTCGAGATATGCCAATCATCATCAAGTTTTATCAAGAAGGTCACATCAGGCAGTGCGCGCCTGAGGTGAGCAATGGTGTTCTCCTTCATTTGATCAAAACCATTCGAGGAACAAATCAATCAATTGGTCTCCGCATTATATACATACGCGCGTACGTACACTAAGCTAGATAGCTAGCTAAAAGCAGCAAATTTTGCTGCATGAACCGGCAAGAATTCGTGAAAGAATCCCACGAGCAAGAAGCCCGGAACCCCCACCGGCCACCGGGCAGCTGAAGCAGAGTCTACCCGCCCGGTGATTGATCGGTTTCCGGCCGGAACTCCCATGTTTGCATTTCCGGTCTACACTACACAACCAAGCTCCAACCAATGCCAGCCGTACTGCCACTGCGTGTGCGTGCATCTCTGGTGCCCCGGCCGAGCGACCGGGCAGCTGCTGCAGCACCGTGCGCCGGAAGCGGCAGCCACCAACGACGACGGCCGGGTAAGTGGTCGATCGCCTCATCGATTGAACGGTCACTCAGGCAGTCAGGGCGGCGAGGAGGGCTTCAAAGTCGGCCTCGTGGCAGGGAAGCGTGATGGCGGCGTCGTGCTCGAAGCCGAACTCCTCCTCGGCCTTCCGAAGCAGCAGCAGGAAGTCCGGGTGCTCCAGGCAGGCGATGGGCACCACGTACCGGCACCGGCTCTCGCCGACGTACACCGGGAAGTGGCCCCTCGGCACCGCGCCCTGCTGCTGCTGCCTCCTCCCAAGGCTCGAGCACCTCCTCAGGATCTGCTTCAGGTTGGCCGCCGGCGCGATCTTCTTCGCCATCACAGCTACCAAATTCCACTGGATCAATCAGCTAGTGTATTTCTCTCTCTCTGTTTCTGTTGCTGCTGCAAAGCAATGCAGTGAAGCTAGAGTGCTCAGGAGGAAGAAGAGCTTGGAGAGTTCGTGGTGGAGATGGCCGGTGTGCAGCGGGCGGTGTGGCTGGGTATTTATGGGGGAGGTGAGGGAAGAGGAGGAGGTGCAAGTGCACATGGTAGGGCCGGCAAGATGAGGGGGCAGGACCACGGGGGTGATGGGGTCGTGTGTTTTGGTGGAAGAGGGAAAAAAAACAAGTTAAGCTTGGATGCCATCTCAAAACCTAGGGTAGCTGTACGTTCTTCCAGACAAGCTGGGGCCTCCTCATCTCTTCATCTCTCTCTGCCCTCCATCTTTTTTTTTCTCTTTAGTGTCTATGTCCAGGAAAAGTTTAAGGAGTTCACCAAATAGTTACTCAATTGATGACTCCGGATTTGCTTATTAATACAAGCTATAGCGCTAGGCTACTCTAGCTCCTTGATTGATACTTCCTCTGTTTTACAATATAAGATTTTCTAGCGTTGCCCACATTCATTTTGATGTTAACATCTATATGTATATGGGCAATGCTAGAAAGTCTTACATTGTGAAAATGATGGAGTATAATAGATTCCACATAATGGACTGGGCTGGGGGTGAACAGGTGCATATATCCTCCTGCGGCTATCTAGATGGCGCAGGTAGTGTGGCTAACGTGATTTGAGCGGTTCCGTCCACTTTGACGTTCTGATTGAAACCGATGTCGTTGTTCCATAAACAGAGAATGAGAACAAATTTATGGACACCGCTAGTCATCTTTGTCAAAAGAAAACATGTTGTATGATTCTCGGTTTCTTCATGTTGGTTTTAGTTTTTATCATGCTTGTGACAGTTGATCGCTACTGAAAGTGAAACAAAGTATGCAATTACTCCCGATGACTGCTAGTGCTATATACCCTATATGCGCATCCGGACTGATATCTTCACAACTTGATATAGTTGCTAAGAGACGTACAACCCGCATGATCTAATGATCCTGTAGTGTTTGGGGATCGGATAGACTGTCAGCCCAGGCGCAAGATGCGAACTAACATAACACACTTATCAGTTTCGACGCAAGCATTGAGTGGGAGAAAATGTTGTGCCACAGAATTTCCGGTCATGGCATGTGCCGTGTCCATGAGTTGCAGAGAGAGTCTGCTTTTCTCTTTCCAAAAGCGAAATGGACAAGATCCCCAGTATATACTACAAAATGATTTGCCTTTTGCATTTTCAAACAACCTATATATGGTTTGCTTAAAGTTCAAACAACGCTCTTCATCACATAAATGGAAATATATATAAGATGTACCAGTAGATAGGAGTACTAAGCACAAAAAAGTTGACTCTGATTAATTATGACCGTCTTTTAGAGGATCTCAGTTGATTTTGGTCAAACCGCATTTGCTACTCTCTGTTTTTTTTCAAGCATGGGCAAGAACATTGCACGCCATTGTCATAAATTAATAAGAAAATAGTTGCATCGGTGCCAAGCACCTAGTCTACTGTAAATACATGTACCATGCATTCATAGATGGATTTGTCAGTTAATTGACACATAGATCTACAAACTGTCGATCTGTACGCTTGGAATCAATTTGCTACGCCAGCAGTTGGTCTTGCAACTTGTGTGCTAGTTTCATTTGCCTGGTCTTGCATTGCTCCAACTTAATTAATTAGAAGACTTTGCCTAGCTAAACCTCAGATTTCTATCACTTAATCTTGGAGACTGAGCCCATGAATGCTTAGGTTCTTTGATTATCACCTGAAGAGTCAGTAGTACTGTTTCGATTGGATACCCCTGCAGATCGAGAGGTAGCTTTCTTATAATCTGAAGAGTCAGTACTGTTAGCAAAGTCTTCAGTTGTTGTGTCCTGCTATACCTAGTTACGTACAAGTATACGTACAACACGTACACGCCTGTAGCTCGTTGCGAGAGAGAGAGAGAGAGAGAGAGAGAGAGAGAGAGAGAGCTTAGGATTTAGAGGTGCAGATGCGGGTACAAGAGAGTGGTACTATCATGTGCGGCCTGGGAAAGTTGCTGTCTGCTGCTGTTGCATGTGACTGGCGTTGAGGACCCTAGCGCAAGGGCCGCCGATTGGTGATCGCCCACAGAGTCACAGGCGCTCTCGCTGCCATTCATTTCCGGTTTCCCGTTTCCGCCGGGGTACATTGTGGCTGGCTGGCCCATGCATTGCATGCATGCATGCATGCGCGGGGCATGGCCATGTGTTCCTCCCCCAATCATCATTGGCACTGCCGCGCTCGGTTACATTTACATATTTACACCCGGCGTTTCCACCACCATCCACGCACGCACCAACGCTCGCTATCTACCTACTGCTAGTGCTAGGTGGTCACAAATTGGTAATGTCGCATGCATTCAGACTAATTCGTTGCATGCATGTATGAGTGAGAAAAATATCTCGATATAATTGGAATAGGCCGATCCAGTGGTTGGAAGGCCCGGGAGCAAAGACTGGACCAGGTCTCTCGGCTACTTGCCTGCCTAGTGGCTGCCGGCCTGTTTCACGCGCATGCATGCAGCCCATGCATTCATGCCACTCCGTACATGGTTAACACAGTACACTTGTAAGTTGTATCACACCCCAGACATATGTAGGTCCTGCAGATATAAGAAAAATAAGTTTATAGGTCATGCAAATGCAATAATAAGCGTAATTGTAATGCATTGTACGTGGTGGAAAGTCCCCAAAGACGCAGCTACGTACCGTCTATAAGGTGGGTCTGTGGGTTCTTGAGCCCCCACTATCTGTGTTGTAACCATGGGAGCCCTCATAAAGTCCCCACTAAAATTTTCTGTCATACATCCATTAGAAAAAGGACTATAATCTTTTGTATAGTTTGTTTAGACCCTCCTGTTAATCCTTTCTAGATCTGGCCCTAATATAAACCATCTAGTTAGTTTTTTCTTTTATAAAAAAACTTCTAGTTTTCTCTCATGCCAGCAGATTCAGCATGCATGACGGCGTTCATTTATTACGAGGAATTCAGGTTCTAGATGAAGAACAAAGAATGCGTTCATGGAGGCTTGGGGACCTACTTGATTTCCAAGAGCAATCCTAGACAGAGCTGGCCTTCGGGGACCCCATCCCAATAAAATGTGAGGCCCATACCCAACACCAATACAACGCCAATAGGAATAAGTCCATTTGTCGTCCCTCATCTCTAACTTGAGTTTACACTATAAAAAATCCTAATAGGAAACATCCTCGTAGGTGCTAGTAAAAACATCACTTTGCTCGCCTTTCCACCATCTCATATATATATATATATATACATATATATATATATATATACATACATATACATATACATATATACATATATACATATACATATATACATATAGAAATCGGCGCATATAATCCCTTATGTCGATTGTTTATTAAAAATACTGGCACCAATAATATCTAAACCAGTTTTTTAATAAGCGGGCACCTATGATATGGTTATAGGTGCCTTTTTTTTTTTTAGAAAACGAACACCCCTGAGATAGTCGAGCCGATGACCGATCGAGCTGGCCCGTTTTTTTGTATGGATGACTCAGCCACTAGTGTCTACCCAATCTATCTCACTCATTGTTAGTATTTCTTAACGACATTACTAGAAATATAATTTCCAGCAATGGCGCAAAAATACATCTGGTATATTATGGCTACAGAGTTCATCAGCAAACACACGGATATACCATTGTAGCATTTCACCCGAGAGTATTCCAAGGGTATCGTATTTATTTTATCCCGTGGAAAGATCATGTAGAGCGAACTCAACTAATAATTTATATATTACTTGTGATAATCATATTCTAATCAGGGGTTAAGATAATCCAAGGGTAGAGTGACACAAAAGCATTTAACTACTCATCCTCATCATATATTATCTAAACTAAGTGGAAAGAAAAGAGAAAAGAAGTCTATTCCTATACTTCTAATATACATAGTTGTTAACAGTGAAATTTGGTAATCGGCAAAGACGTCATCGGCTTAGAATCATTATCGGCTGCAACATCTCGGAATCAGCCTATGGGAGTTATCAAGTCACCAATAGTCGGATTCCTGCTATATTCGGTTAAGGAAATCAATCTACTAAAGGAAGCTTATCCCTAAGTGACCGAGTTTAAAGAGGATGCGGCATGACAGTTTATCTATTAATTAAAAATAGTTTGTTAGTTTCCTTTTATCTTTAGGAAAGTGAGTTTAGTGTCCGATAAGGACTTTATTTTTTCCTTTTATCTTTAGGTTAGTTTCTTTCTTGTCCGACAATGACTTCTATCAACCCATGGGTATAAATATGTACACCCGGGGTCTATGTAATCTAACGCTACGATCAATACAATTCGGCGCATCGCCACCCTTTTTACTTCTACTTTTGCTTTTTACGTTCCGGCGGAACTTGGCACCCGACGCGGGGCTGCATCGTCTTCGATCTCCGGCGAAGGGGTAAATCTAATGTTCCGTCGGCCCAGGCAATTGTCTCATCTACATCGGCGTCGTTCAAGGCTGCATCAGTACATTCGACCTCTTGGATTGCTCTGGTTTGGATGATATATTTGCCTACCTATTTATCATATTTCTCTGTTAATCTAATCTTAGCATATCAATTTAGCTCTATCGGCTATATCTCGCTTTAGGGTTTCTGCCGGTATCGGCTAAATCGCATTGCTAGATTAGATTAGCATAGGCATCTACCACCCTGAAAATCAGTCATCGGCTTGATTGTCTAGATATTATGTTTCTTTTCATACTTAGTGCTGCATCAGTTAAGTTTGATCTACTAAGTTGTGCTTAGAACCACAATCTCTAGCCTGCTTATTGATTGCCAATAAGGGTTTCATCGGGGTTTCAGCCGGTGAGTTATCTGTACGTTGCATCGGCTCATGAGGATTGCATATACATATAAGTTGGATTTAGCCGATGACAACAAAGGTTTCACTGTTTAATCCAATCTTGTGGATTTCATGACATCGGACCTCCAGCCGATGTGTGCTTTAACCTTTGGATCGATGCTTATTTATCATATCATTGCTAGCCGATTGGTTTATATTGGATTATATTGTTAT